AAATGACTACTACAGTTAGTCTACAGAAATCTTACTTACATTTGTATAACGCTAATCTAAATCAAATACCCATGAGCAAAGCTTTTAGTTTCTAGAGAATGTTGTTCTGTGTCGACAGGCAAGTAAAATTTTTAAGATACGTTATAAGTAATGGTAATATAACTGAGTGGAGTGCAATTCGGTCTGCAATCAAGCGTGTGATAACAAAATCGGAGGACCGAGTAGCGGGTGTTGGGGTCCGATTTGTTTACAGACCGAATTTGAAGACACGAAGTCTTGCTATCAATTAATCATAAAAATTACAATTTCCGAGAAAAGAAGAACATCCAAGTTATGAAAAAAAGGAAAAATTTATAATAAAAGACTGACAAAGGAGGCGTTAATTGTTTAATGTCGCTTTGAAATTGAGATTAGTTGATTTAAACCACAACTTTGAATGTTATTAGCTTATTGAACTGTCCGATAACAACTTGGCAAGTGAATAAGTGAAAAATAGGAGTTTTTTAAACCAATCACAATCGAGGAAATTGTAATTTTTATGATTGCTATATTATTGTTATTTAGAACAAGTAAAGAACCTAAAGCATAGACCAGCTATAGCTAAAATACGATCAGGCAACCACAGACTTAGAATCGAAACTGGACGACACTGTATTCCTAAATTACCTGAATCTCTTAGGATTTGTCAATACTGCCGCTCTAACCAAATTGAGGACGAAAACCATTTCTTATTTCATTGTGATCATTATTAAACTATTAGGCAACGAATAACAAGTGACATTGTACTAAAATACCCATCATTCGATCTCTTGAACAATACTGATAAAACTCTATTCCTATTTAATTATGTTGATTCGTTTATTTGTAAGAAACTAGGTTATTTTGTGTATGAAGCGTTGCATATAAGAGAAACTTGTAATCCTATTTAATTTAATGTGGTTAGTGGTATTGTTATTTTTAATTTCTTTCTGTTATATATTTTATATATTGTTATTCAAGGTAATACCATCCATATATATGGGAATACCAATAAATTGTTGTTGTTGTTGTTTTTACATAGCAAACTTACTATTTCTACTTTTGTGGTTATTTCCGCAAAACGTTGATGCGAGTTTCTACTATCGCGATCTACTGAGTATTCCCTCTTGAAGATGTCTTATAATCCCAAATTATTTTCTTCTAACAACATTGTACCTCAGTTTGAAAGGTAAACGGCATGCACTTTGTTCAAATTCGGCTGAAGAAAATCAGTTCTAGTTTCAGTTGTTTGCTTTTTCCTTGTTAGTCTCTTAAGATGTAGACCAGTAATCTTTGTTTCACTTAAGAAATCCACTGGAAAATAGTCCTTACGACTCATCAGGAAGCAAACTCTTAAGTTCGTCTGCTTTTTGTCTTAAACATCGCGCCGCTCCAGATCCCTTGTCTTCAACTATGTCTTTGATGGTGTAATGCAGATCTATGGCACCGCGTATCACTAACACAGCAGAGACTCCCATCATCACTTTACCTGCAACTTTACCAGCAACTTCCACCGTCAATTAAACCAGTCCTTGCAACGTTTGCTACACCATCAACCGCTTTGTCTTTAAGGGACATTCTTCTTCGTCTCGGAGGTTTCATTTCTGGTCTCGAAACTTTGAGGGCAGAGACCATTATGGGATGCAAAACCTGATCCCATAGGAGCCCTTTCACCAGGTCATTCGTGTTTAGCTCAGCAAGGCAGCAAATGTACAACAAGCGTACGTCTTCTTTCGTTTTCATCCACAATCGGATAGTATCTTTCATATCGTTTACGCTGTCTCTAGTATCCCTCAACTTCTCTTCGGCCTTCTTGATTTCTGAAGACTCTATGGAAGCTTCTTTTAAATTTACCACCAGGTTTGTACTAGCTCCAGCAACACCAATACCCAAGCCTGCTATTACCAAAGGCGGGGTAGCACCCATTGTCATTGCTGTCGCAATTCCTCCTGCGATTGCGAGAAGCCCACCTGCTATACTACCAACTGTTCCAGCGGCTTGTGCTGTCTTGGACGCTTTCCACACTCTATCAATTTTGTCAGCTGCCTTAAGGAAACTCGCAATGGTACTTTTCGCTTTGCTTATTATTGTGTTGGCCTTCACCACAAGCTTTTCTAAATCCTCTCTATCTTCTTGCTTTTGAGCCTCGGACAGATCGCTAAACTTTATCGGTTTCTGAAGGATTTTTTTAACGCGTTTTACCTCCTACAAAATTAAAACCAAAATGACTGATTTATCTCATTATCCTACAAATCAGAAACAGGGTCTTGTTAGCTTTCCTTGAAACCGGGACAATCGTAGGAAAGGAGGAAATTTAGGGTGTCCAGCATCAAAAGGTCAACAGCGGGAGCTTTGCGGGACCTTTTAGGGTATTGAGCCGAAAAAATATGACAGGAGATAATGCGTCGTTTTAGAATTGGTACCTCTTAGGGGTAAAAACCATTTCAAGCCACGCCCACAAAACAGTATCTTGCTACCTCTTAGGGGTTCTTTTCAAAATTTCCGACGAGCACCCCCCTCCTTTTTTATATGGGAGTCGCATCTGGCATTTGATGCGTCTTCAGAGTGAAACCTCTGTTTTCAAATTCTTCGGCGTAGTGTGGACGGGGCCTTAATTTAATAGATTTAAACAGAAGAACGTGTTTTATTTAACAAATAAAGAAGCCTAAGCTGTGTATTACACTGTGATAAAACACGATGGGAATTCGAGAACACGAGAGAAATGTAGAAAACACGAGCCGCAGGCGAGTGTTTTCTATATTTCTCTCGTGTTCTCAAATGTCCGGAGTGTTTTATCACAGTGAGTTTTATCACAGTGTAATACACGGCTTAGACTTCTTCATTTACTTTATGATATAGAGGTAATGTGGCGAAAAACAATAAAACACGCTTTTTCTATGTTTTATACTGTGATAAAACATGGGTTTTTGACCAGTCAGAGCGTGCGTAGGGTCATATCTATATTATAAAAGGTCCGAAAACAGTTGTCAGCGCAATGTGTTATGAACCTGATAAAACACAGCTGCTCATTACATAAGAACAAAATAACAAGTACCGTAAGTGCAAAACAAATGTGACATACTAGGGTATCATGTTATGGTCTAACAATACTCATAGACCTCATAACTCAGCACTGGTCAGACTAAATATTTTAAAGCACATTAGCTACTGTAGTCTGTGGTCTTTTCTACAACCGGTACAAAAGACAGCCAGAAGTATATATGTTATGCTTACCTCCATAAAATCTGACGTAGAAAGGATGTCTTCCACCTCTGCAACAAACGCGAAAAAAAAAAGCAAAGGACAATTTAAGGTAATTCCATCGCAGTAGAACTCACAATAGATTTTCTTTCAAACTTTACCTGTTGGCTGCTTATATCAAGAGAACTTAAAATTTGAAATTAAAAAAGGGGGTTCCCGTATTCGATTGGGAGCAGGAGGACCTTCAATAAACACCATTATTCTATAATCTGCTTTCAAAAACGTTTATAGTTGAACCATTCACCTTACGCTTTAAGAGAGCAGAGAAATAGGGAGAAAGTTAAGCGAGAAGTACAACAATGAATGTATTGCATAAATTTCAAGGAGCAATTTGATGTACCTTTCATGATAAAGGCACTCGTATTTAGTCGACAGGGATGCAATATGTTCCAAGCACGCAGTGTTCTGGGGCCACATATTATATTTTACGAGTGCTAGCTATGCTCTCATTTTCCGTAATCAATTTTTACTCTGCAATAGAAATTGCTCCATATTCACTGGATAGAAAGAAGGCGATCTCTGCATTCAAAACCAAATAAAAAATCATCAGGTCCTGGTACTCGTTTCCGAGGAAAAAACGATGATTTGTCTCTCGCAAGTTAAGCCGTTTAGAAAAAGCCACTATTTTGAAAAATATGTTGTGTTTGTACACGCGCTCGTGAGCGCTAAAGACGCCAAAATCATGCGCATTAGGGATGCGCAATGCAATTCTGAGGAATCACTTAAGACCTCTTAATAAACTGCACCGGCATATAACCCGTTCAATAAATTTCAAATCTCTCCACACGACCATCAGGACCGCTTTATTCCGAAATGAAGTGAAAATTCTTTCTTGCAGAAACGCCAATTCGAAAAGCATCCTGACAGTTAAGGTTCAAAGACGCTTACGAGAACTGTATATAGCCATTGGTTGCAGATCCATTATTTTTAACGTGGAATATTGTTTTCTCCAAAGTATTAAAGGTCATATTTACTCAAGTTCTGAGGAGCGCTCAGAACGAAGGCTTCAGCTAGAATCCACCAAAAGTTCGCGTAACAAATGGACAAAAACTTTGTACCAAGATTATTTACATTGTATTACAAACTTCTGTGCGACTGCTTTTAATATCTTCTGAAAAGAAATCATTTCTAACAACACCAAATGTCGAAAACAAATTTTGAAGTTCATATGAAACACTTAAAGATATTGGTGAAATGAAACTTACTGATGATGAATTGTACACTTTCTCTGAACTTTGAAATTTATTTCCTCAAGTTCCCATTGGAATTGTTTTTGGTGTTATTTTAGGTAACTATTTATATCTTTAGCTCATAGAAAATTCAAAAAGGACTGTAACATTATTCTGGTACAAGGTTTTTGTCCACTTAAAACTGAAATTGCTCGATTTCCTTTCGGATTTCGTCTCAATGTAAAATTCTAATTCTTAGTCCAAATGAGGTATATTCACTAAATACAATGATAAATATGTTTCTACCTTAGTTGCAAGAGCGAGTTTCCTTTCTGGAACCATTTCCAAATGTAAAAGCAGTGAAAACATACGTCCATTTCGACTGTGTTTACAGTGAGAAACCATGACTGAAATCTTTATGACATCACAGCTAATGCAAGGTAAACCGAGGCACTTGTCTCAGTTAGTTATTTCGTTTTTGTTGTTAGTAAACATCCTAAATTTTTAGGAAGAGAATTTAACCATGGACACTGATTGCACAGTCATGATTTTTTCATGGGCATTGCCTCAGTCATCACATGCACCACAAGAGCTGATTATCGTACCAACCACTAGAGTAGTGAGACAATCTCAGATAGTGCAGAGTGCAATTTAAAGCTCTGATACAGTAGTCACATAAGTCCTTACCCATGCCGTCCTCTCCCTTGGTAGTCAACTAGGCCTTTTCCCCTTGCAGAATATGAGCGGACAATAACGTGATAAGACATAATCTTAGCAGTGTGTATGTTTCATGTTTGTATTTTCTTCCAAGGCCCAAAAATAACTTCCAATTACCGTTTGTCAAGACGGTTTTAAATTCTATTGTGGTGTTTTACGTTGAGTTTCGTTCACTTTAAATTCAATAATACGTAGAAGTAGCAAATGTGAAAAAAAATTATTTCTCACGCAAACGTTTGTAACTTGATACTTTTGTTTTCCTCTCCAAGGTAAAAATACAAGAAAGACGTGTATTTCTGGTTTTACTCACTGCTGGAGATAAAAGGAATAAAGTTAAATATCTGACGAAAAATCGATAAACAAGAACTAATCTATTTATCAAATAGTCACGTCGAGTCACGGAATAGTGCGTTTTTATTTACGTCAAACTAATACAAAATGCTATCGATTAATTAGTAATAATGGTAGATTTAAGAGTGCAAAAATTCTAGGAACAGCATTTTGTGCTTGAGCTGTTATATAGACGTGAAATTGGCCTCCCTCCAGTGGGGACGAAAACAAATGAATTGATAGAAAAGCACGTGCATACGAGAGGGTTTGTTTATACATGTATTACGTAATACATGTAGCATAATATGTGCCATACGCAGTTTAGCATATATTTGTATTCTGTGCGTTTGGAATCCGTACATGTGCAGGTAGTCATGTAGTC